ATAATCATATTATTTTTATATTTGATTTGCTTATTGAAATAAAATTCAAAAATTTTAATTTAATATTAAAAAATTATTATAAATAAAAAAAATTTGAATCTTTATATATTTTTTTGTCTTTATTATTTGATTTTTATTTTGAATATTTTTTTTAAAATAATAATAATAATATAAATATTATAATATAAATATTTATTTATTATTATTTTAATAATATTCAAGTTTTTATATTTAATACAAATTTTTGGATAAATTATAAATATAAAAAAGTTTATAAATAAATTCTTTATATTATAAATAATTTATTATAAATAATATATATTTTAAAGAAAATCTCAAGTTTATATTATTTCTATATAATAAATTAAATTATTATTTTATATATATATTTATATTTAAATTATATAATATCAATAAAAAATATAATAATAAATAAAATATTAATATAATTAAATCTCTTATAATTATATTTATTAATAATTAATTTTTCTATAATTATTTTGTTTTATTTTTATTAATATATAAATATAATAAAAAAATTTCTTTATAATTATAACTTTTTGATATAAAAATAAAAAATTTTTATAAAATCAAAAATTTTTATATAAGCAAAAATTTTGATTTTTACTATTATCAAAATTTATTAATTAAATATAGTAAAATATAGATTTTTCTTTTTATATATAAGTTTTTAATTTTACTAATAAATATTTTTAATTTTTACATTAAAATAAAAATAATATTATATATTTTAAATATATATTTTTTTCAAATTTTTAGATTTAATTTAATAAAGTTGTTCTAATTACATATAAAGTCAATTATTTTTTATATGTTTTAATTATGAAAATAATTAATTTTATATGCAATTAAAATAACTTTATCAGATTAAATTTAAAAAATATTTTAAAATATGTGACATACATTTATATAAAAAGAAAAATTTATATTTTACTATATTTAATTAATAAATTTTGATACTATTATATTATTCTTGATTGTTATTATATTATACAAAAAATTTAGCTTTATAAATTATTAATTTTATAACTTTATAAAAAATTATTATAATATTATATATATAGTAAGCTAACAAAATTATAAAATTATACATATGATTTTATTAATAAATATTTTTATTTTTATATTAAAACAAAAATTATAAGTTATATTTTTTTGGATTTTTTAGATTTTTTATAATAAAAATATGCAATTAATTATAAAAAATTTTTGCAATTAGAACAACTTTGTCAAAAAAGATTCAGAAAAAATATATCTTAAATTATAACTTATAATTTTTATTTTAATATAAAAATAAAAAATATTTATTAATAAAATTGAAAACTTTTATATAAGATAAAAGTTTTAATTTTTATTATCTTTTATTAATAAAATTACACATATAATTTCATAATTCTGCTAGCTTACTATATATATTAACTAATAAAATTGAAATTTTTATTTTATATAAAAGTTTTTAATTTTATTAATAAATATTTTTATTTTTATATTAAAATCATAATTTTTTATAATTAAAATATAAAATTAATTATAGTCAAATTTCTTTATATTTATACTTATTTATAGTTATATTTTTTTATAATTATTTATTTTGCTTTTTTAAAAATAATAATTATAAAAAGATTTAACTATATAAAAAATTTTTGCAATAATTTATATTTAAAATAATTTTATCAAAAAAATCTAAAAAATCCAGAAAAAATATATATTTAATTATAATATATTATCTTTATTTAATATAAAAATAAAAAATATTTATTAATAAAATTATATATGTGATTTCATAATTCTATTAGTTATTGTATTATTATTATTAAAAATTATTATATAATAATTAATAAAAACAAATCATAAAATAAAAAAGATTTGTTATTATTTAAATATAATTTAATAAAATAATTAAGATAATTATTAAATAATAGTAATTAAAAAAATATTTTTCAAAAATTTAAGTTTTTAAGCTAATTAAAATATATTATATATAGTATTAATAAAAAATAATGTAATAATATCAAAATTTATTAATAAATATTTTTGATTTTTATATTAAAATAAAGATAATATTATATATTTTAATATATATTTTTTAAATTTAGTTTTAATTATATATAAAGTCAATAATTTTTTATATATTTTAATTATAAAAAAATTATTAATATTATAAAAAATTTGAAAAAATATATTTTAAAATATATAATATTGTCTTTATTTTAATATAAAAATAATATAAAAAACTTATATTTTACTTTATTTTATTAATAAATTTTAATTTTGTAATATTATTTTTTATCATTATTATATATATTATTAGTATATAATATTATACTTAATTTTTGCTTAAAAATTATAAATAATTATATTATAAAATTTTGTTAATAATTAATATATAATTTATTTATAATATTAATTTAAATTGATTATAAAATAATTAAGAAAAATAATTTATTGATTAATTTAACTTAAGAAGCTAAAAAATAAGCTATTTAAATTTGATAAAGCAAAAAAAAAAACTGAAGTAAAAGAATAATAATAATAATAATAAATAAAATATATAAAATTAAATTCAATTTAAAATAATACTAAATTATTTAGAATATAAAAAACATGTTATTTATTATATGATTTTCTATATGTTCATAATATAACTAGTTATAATAACTAATCAATTATATAAAATATAATAATTAGCTAATTTCATGTATTCATAATAAAAAATTAGATAACAAATAGCAGGCTTTTAATTTAGTTTAGTTATTATAATTATAACATTAAAAAATAATACTTAATATCAAAAAGAGATATGTAAATATATATAGTATTTTAGTATTAGCAAATATTTATTATTATTATAAGTAATAATGGTTATTTTTTATTATCATTTACAATGATAATTATTATTGATTAATCAACAATTAATAATAATTGATAGAGTATTAGAAATCAATTGTCAATAAATATGGATAACAATCAAATCAACTATACAAGAAATTTGCTAATCATTAGCTTTCTTTCCCTAGCAATGGATAGTGCTCCAACCGGGTCGGGTCCAATCTGTAACCCGACTCGAAATATTTCGAATCACCCTAAAAATCGTTATTTCTCGTTCAATATTAATTGGAATTAAACGAAAATTTGTGGGTATATACACAATTACATTCCGGAAACTCTACTTAGACACAAAATACAAGTGTCTTAGTAAAGATAAAATTTATTAACGAAAAACTATTTTACGATTTTCGGGTCAAACCCGATCCGAATCCGACCCGAAAAGAGCCTTATTTTAAGGTTAACGTTAAGGTTTGTGTGTGTAAGTCGCGGAAATAAATTAATTCCTGTTGGTCATTGTTTCAACGATCTGTTTGATCTTAATTGGTAAAAACAATAGTCCCACTAACCATTTTAGTGCATTCCCGAGTTCTCATTATATAATTACGAACCAAAGTTACGGAGTCATCACTTTGATGGTACGTATCGGTATTGGATAAATTTTTGAGTCTTAAAAATGGCATCACAAATGCAGATATGTCGCAAGCTAAAAAATCATCATCGTTAATGGTTGACATCTAAAAAAAATTAGTTTTCGTAGAAACTTTCAAGAAACAAAATATGGGACATGTTCTAATAGATTGCTATTTTTTTTTTAGATTAATATAATATAGTGCCGCATACACTCGGTATTGTAACTACAGACAACTCTCGTTAAACCAACCATATTTTCTTTGATTTAACGAGAGTTGACTATGTATTTTTTACCAGTCACATATTTTTATCTATGTTATATATATTTAAAATACATAGTTAACTCCCATTAAATCGAAGAAAAATATACGTAGTCGGTTTAACGAGAGTGAATTGTAGTATTTCAATTATACATGTGCGTATTTGCATATATTTATATTTCATCGAAAAGTCAGTCGTATACGTACTACGTACGATCTCTTGCAGTAGTTGTTCAACCTTATACATGTACATCTAACAATAATTGTTTCTGCTTTAATGCAGCAATTATTTATAATGATCACTACATATTTGTGTCTGCGAGTCATGTAATAATTACAGAAGCACAAATATATTGGGAACTATATCGATATAAATACATCCACGATTAATTTACGTAATGCTATCGCTATGTCATAATGGGAAATTCTGTTGAGAACATTCTGCATATATATACATGTTCTAGTTTTTTTTTTTGAACTCTAACGAACTTAAAGACATCATTTTTGATGGAGTTGTGATGGTAGGAAAAATTTCCATTAATTTTAAGCATTGACTCGATATATAATTAATTTTAAAAGCAATCAATATTGAGATATTGGAATGTTCTAAAACGAAATTCTTGTATGTTGAGCGAAAACAAACTTCAATTTACTGACTCTGGCTGTCATCGCATCCAGAACATAATGTTCTTGATGATAAGAATGGAGAAAGTAAATAAAAGAGATCATATTTAACTTTTTGATATGAGCGGATAGGATTCGATATGGTAAATAAGACTTCCGAATATTATTTCCCTGAACCTACAAGTCATGACAATATTCGCGTCTACCAATGGAAAATTGGATTTTACTGCGTCTTTTTAAATGCATTCAGTACTTATCTGTGAACTTAATCTTTTATCATTATTTTTATGGAGCTTTCTAGACACATAATACATGTATAATTAAAAATCTGCGGTTCACAAACATAAACATAAACATAATGCATAATGCATATCGATATATTTTCGAGAGTACTGATTTACAATTGGTAAATCATAATCTGTAAAAAAAAAATGGTTGTGCGTGTGTAAATTATTGTTATACACGTTTTTTTTAAATATCAGCCGTGGTTTATTTATTGCGGGGTACACACATACTGATCTTTTACTATAAACTAGGTTGAATTGCGAATTTTGGTTTTTGGTCAAGATCGATTATTATCGTTATTATTTTTATTACTTAATTCTGGCTACATTGAATAATTTTGTTTGGTAACTGATGAAATGGGTACCGCTAATAGTAGACCAAGAAGTGATGATGATGGTCATGAAGGCGGTGACGGTGATCCCTTTTTTCAACAGGGACAAAGCTATATCGATAGAAGCCAGGAACAACAACATTTCCTGCGTGCTGTATGGGATGGAAATTTTTTGTCGCCTGTTCGAGAAGCACTTACTGCTGGAGGTGCTAAAGTGCTTGATGTTTGGTCAGTTCCTATTAGATAAAAAAATATTGTTTATTTTCACCAAAAAACATGTATTCACATTTTCTTGATATTAAAACAAAGTTGTGGATCAGGCGTGTGGGTTTGCGATAACGCATCGGATTTTAAAAATGCGAAATTCTTTGGCTTTGATATTGTTCAACGCCTTCCAAACGAGCGACCACGGAACGTAGAATTTCAAGTAGCCGACGTTCTGCAAAGATTTCCGTTCGACGACGATTATTTCGACTTTGTATACATCCAGTTCATCACCCTGTGGTTCACGGAACAACAAATAATTGACAACATACTACCAGAATGCGTGCGAGTTCTAAAACCTGGTGGGTGGATTGAAATAAGTGATTCGTACGCACACTTATATACGAAGGGTCAATTAGGAACAATATTAAATTCGTATTGTAAGTTTTGAAAATGATTTATTCGCTACTTTATTATATGTCTACCTTTTTTTATTCGGTTATTGTTCATTTTTTTATAGTCACCCAGCAGCAGCAGAAACGCGATTTTAATCCCTTTCTAGGGAACCACCTGGAGTTCTTTTTGCAGAAAACGGGGAATCTGCAAAATATAAGAAAAAAAGAAATGGAGCTAACGATTCCTAATTTGAACTTAATAGGAAATGGGATGGGTGACATAGCATGCAAAATGTTTGCCGAAATTGGAATCAAAAGTGGGATGGAACTGGGTCTGTTAAAAGAATCGGACTCGGAAAAAATTATAATAGATTGTATGAGGGAGGCACATGAGAAGCGTGCCTATTTTAAACTCTTTAGAGTTTATGCAGAAAAAACTCACGAGAAAAAAAGGCTATGGGATTATTAAAAAAATCATTGTAATTATATATAAGCATTTCTTTTATGTCACATAGATAAATCCAAGCATGTACATTTATTGGGGGGAGGGGTTACTTTCTTACGCACAATCAAGAATTTAATACGTTGATGTATTAATATACTGTATGCTGTTTAATTTTTATAACAAAAGCATTTACTAAGCATAATTTTTTAGTATAATTTTTAACAATACTATACCTGTAGAATGCACTCTCATTTATAAAATACGATAATAAGACTTTATGTATCATTTATCTAGGAACAGAATTTATTACAGCTAATTTAAATATTACGATTAATCCACTATATCGAGATTTTACAGTCGACACTCGATAAGTGCATTGACTATTGAATCAAATTTCCAATGGTACGTAATAATAAAATCTTATATGTGACAATGATTAGAATCTGTTCAAAACGAATGTTCTATAGTACAGCTTGCTTTCTGTCAAAAGCTTCCTTTGCTCAAAACACAGTCATTTTCCTTCTAGTGGACCTCCTGTATAGTGGTGACTAATTACAGTCGATTCTCGATATCGATATGTGCAACCCATGCACTTATCGAGAGTATGCACTTAACGAAATTTTAGTTACGAGCTAACACTAACACTACATTTTGATGGTCTGCATTTACGTAGAAGTCATAAAATGTTTCTTTTTTATGCTTTTCATCAATCTTACTCTCGTTCTTCTTTTAACACACAAATGCATGTCTCTTCTACGAATATTTGTTATGGTTTAATGCATAATGTGTGTTCCTTTGTCATTTTTCATGCATAAATCTATTTACAAACGCAAGTGAATAACGCAGATATATGTATATCGATATGAATCACAACTATAAAAAATTAATCTTGAAAGATAAATTAAAATATTCGATATTACTCAGGGTTGAATAAAATTCACTATGAGGGATTTGTGCATCGCATAATTATTATCCTCAAATTGCTGAGTTGGGACTTACCAAAACAGCAGATATAGAAAATCTGATCAAAAATTTGCTGAGTACTTCCTTATATGAGTCCAGAAGTACTAAACAGAAAGCCATACATTTAAACTGCAAATATTTATAGGTTTGGGATGAGGTTGTCACAGGTGAACGAATTATCTCGTATTAGATATCTATCCCGAATGGTGCAAACTATTATTGAAAAATGTTGTGATCTTCACCAATTTATCCTTTCTCATATATACAGTCTGACCTCCTTATAATCACGCCCTCGGGATATGACTATATGGAGGTCAAATGTCTTATGTTTCATACATGTACATGTAATAAGTTGGAAACTGAAAAAATGTGACTATATTGATTTTGTGATTATATGGGAGGTGACTATATGGAGGTTCGACTGTGTATTAGGGATGAATCGATTAATAATTTCGATTAATCGATTTAAATAAATTCGATTACCAAACAGCTATTTAATCGATTTCGTTCATGTGTAATTAAGTTTCCCACATCTGAAAATAGATATTCAGATGGAACTGATGTGGCAGGAATTATCAAATATTTGCGTGCAAGTTGTGAAAGAATTGGATATAGAACCAGGAATCGATTTTCAACCCAAAATCGATTCTCGAGCACAAAGTACGCCGATGATGATGACGACGACGACAGCAATAACAACGATGACGGCGATGTCATAACTGGTCTTTGATTTTGTTTTTCATTGCATGTTGATTTTTTCCCTTTTCGTTGGAATAGTTGAAGTTGTACTTTGATTAGTTGAAATTATGCTTTGATTAGTTGAATTCGTAGAGATACTACGTGGTATAGAAGCAATTGAAATATTGTCATCATATTGAGATTCCGATCAATATCAGTCCTTTTGGCATTAGTATCACTATCAGAGTTATAAACTTTATATTGGCAGGTTATTATCAATATACATTTTTGTTGAGAGTACGTACGTATGTTGTTTGTCGTGCGCTATATCATTTGCATGATTTTCCAATTGCATGTATTCACGTGAACGATTTATGCATTATTGTTACGTATTGACGTTAATCGATTTTGTCTTTAAAATCGATTCTCAAATTTTAATCGATTCTAAATTGATCGATTCTAGAGAATCGATTCCTATCCCTACTGTGTATGGGTATAGATTTGAACTCGATACTTTGCATTTTCAGTACTTTCGAATCTACAGAACTGAATACTTTGCATCTTCGGCTCTTTAGAATCTTCTAAGATTCTCAAAGAAATTATTGATTGTTTTGAACTAGAAAACCAAAATCAGAGGAGAATTTTATGAGAAGATGGAAAGTGTTCCGCGACAAAAAAAAATTACATCCAAATACAGTCAGTTTACACCAATCGAATATTTACCACAAAATTCTATTGAATACCATCATATTGGCATTTCACACTAATTAACTTATATAAATATTAGGTTTACAAGTGTCAGTTGTTTGTTCCAAACGAAGATAAACTTATTTTATTTTTCTTATTGAATTCATTACTATTTTTTCTTTTGAAATTTAGCTGAAATTAACGAGAATGAAGATATCTCGTGTTTCTTTCAAGAACAACTACAACTTCATGATGAAACACTTCTAAATATCATGCTCGTTATTAGGTGAAACTGGTAAGTATTAATTTATATATGCGTTATAGAATTACATTAAAGGATAAAAAATTATAGCTTTTTAATTTGTTAACATGATCCTGAAGGTAATCATTGAATCGATATCGATATTAATTGTGTTGTGCTTGTAAAAGAACAACCAAAAGTGGTTTCCATTCTTTATCGACTTCTTTGTGTTTACACATATATTTTTATTATTTTAACCAAAATTTATTTATTAGTTATGTAGTTTACTCAATTATATATATCAAACACATATACTAGAAATTGGGTTTACATTAAACCAAAATTCTCTGACATAACGACAACGTAATGATAATGATAATGATAATAATGATAATGATAATAATGATAATGATAATGATGATACGTATGATATTACGTTTTTGTAATTACGTACTATCGCTATTTTTGATATATCGATACGGTGCATAACATTTAAACTCATCAATAGATTGTATTTTATAAAATGTATAAATTTCTTTACTAAGAAGTAAATACAAAATTTAATCCATGAATATGCTCAGAAAGGACCTATTCTATCATATTCATGGATTAAATTTCTTAGTAAAGAAGTTTATTGAATATAAAATACAATCTATATGAGTTTAGATGTCATGCACCATACCGGCAGTGATGGTAAATTTTGAGGTCATTTACCTTTTTTCAAATGACCTTGGTCATTTCCGACTAAACTTAATAATAAAATTGAGGTCTTTTGGGGTCGTTTGGAGTCATTTGAGGGTCATTTGAGGGTCATTTCAAGGTCATTTCAAGGTCATTTACCATTACTGCCATACCGATACTGTAACATAGTAATAGAAAGTTGCCTCTTTTATTTTTATATTTCATATCGATTTACATGTATTTAATATTATCACAGCAAGAATTCCAAAATTAAGTCAGTCATTACAACTGTAACGATATGTCCCTACCCAAAAAAGCATTGTTATATGCAAATCTCACTTTAAAAATTGGTTATGTCGTTACCAAAAGGCATCGTTGACCGTTATAACTAAATTAATACTATCACGTATCTAAAGTACATCACCGTAAAACGCTCTGTATAGTACCCTCCCTTGCAAAGTTTTTTCCAGTTTATGCGCGGATATTTTATAGTGTGTATTTTTATATATCTATTATTTCTTGTATTATATTTATTATTTTTTACATAACATATAAGAAATTAATATAGATCTACATTAATACTTTTTAATATTTCACCAAATAGATTAGATATAAAATATAGATCACATTATTAATTTAGATACATATTTCTTTTATTTCTATTTATTTTTTATTATTTTATCTTTATTATTTTTAATTCATATTAATTACTTTATATTATTATTTATATTTTATACATATCTAATTAAGTACAATATAACTTGAAAATATATTATCTTTAAGATTAATAATTTAGAACCAATTATTCTTTGTTTATTATTAATTTATTTGTAATTTATAAAATATTAATTATATTTCTGTTCTGTACTTTAGTTCTTTGGATTTTTAATAAATAAAGAATAAGCTTTATTAAAGTTAAAACTGAAAATTATTTTATTTAATATAATTTATTTATAATAATTAATAAATTTATCTTAATATTATTAAATTTTTAATTATTTATTTATTGAGTTTTAAACTTTGAAAAGATAAAATATTTTTTTGGATTGATTTTTAATTAAAAATATTTGATTTAAATATAAGTATCTACAAGTATAGAAATATTAATATCTTTTATTTTTAGTTAGTAATTCTTATTTATTTTCTAACTCTTTTTTATTTTCTAATAGAATTGTTTAATAATTTCTATCAAAATTGACACAGACTAGATATTTAGTTTTATATTAATCAATTTATTAGTCTATTTCTCTTTCCTAATTCATATAACTCTTTTACTAAAAGTAAAGAAATCCTTTATTTAAAATAACTATAACAATAGCTGAAATATTCAATAAACTTATAGTAGTATTATGAGTAATAAGTCCAATAAATTATTGATAATTAGATTTATATAATTGAGCAATATGAATTATAATATTCAAAATAACTAGTTTAGCTAAATTAACAAAGAATTTGATTTTTAATTTTAATTCATTAACAAATAATATTACTTTAAAATATTCTGAATATGTATTACTTGAATTTATTTGATAAAGTAATTTTCAAATAGTAGTGAATATTATTCAACACTTTTAGTTAATAACTATTTGTATTAATTTAATTATTATTATCATTTATATATTTTATCAAATATTCTAAATTGTTATTTAAATTAGAAAACAAATAAAATAATTTAATTATTTGTATTATTTAGAGTATTTGAATTTTATTGTATTAATCAGTTTAATATAATTGTTTTTTTATTAGCAAGTCATATTTTGATAGCATTTTTTAA